TACAATCCATCCAATCCAACATTTGAAGCTTGAAAATTGTTGTTGAGTCATCGTCCCCAAGCAATTTGACAGCGCTTGAGTACTTTTGCAAAGAATAAGGGAGAAAAATTGTCCAGATGTTCAAAACTGTTACTGCTGCCAAAGGTGCCTACTAAGATTTGACTGGAAGAGGGTGAGAATCTACGAAAATATTTTAAATTTAGAGATTTTTTTTTTAAGTTAACATTAAATACTCTTTAAAATCCTCATTAAACAAAATGCTTTATTTTCATGAAACAATAAAACATGACATTTCTGTGTTTTACATGTCTGTAGTCTGTATACTGAAAATGCAAATGAAGTATGATTTTCATGATACACGTATTACTAGATATTAATAGATATGTCCTACATTGTAGACTTCACTGACTCATAGAGACCTTGGAAGACTGTGCCTCAAGTCCCCAATACATATTTTAGTGTATCCTTCAGGCAGAATCCACTAAATGCTGTTTGTTGGTATACTGTATGTAATATATTTTCAAAGATGAAAAAAGAGTGGACTCAGCAATATGTTTGCTGTTGGACATACAAATAGTGGCAATTGGCTTCTAATGATTCCAGAAAGTGGCGTGGTATATTCGTGACACAGTCAGCCTGTCCTGACTACTGTGGTGGCTTTAACAGCCAAAGTCTCTCTGAGTATCACTTACTCCATGCAGCTACTCGCAAGGGACGGAGAGGCCAGGCTAGATTCCTCTGTGAGTCCCTGGATATTAGTTTCATATCACAGATAACACACAAACACAAAGGAGGGAAAGAGCCAGCCGGTGAGGAGAACGGGGTCAGGGACAGAAGGGGAGAGAGGACACACACCAATTGTGGTGAAAATGACAACCTTAAAACAGAATTAAAGCAATATATCTTTCCCACGTGGCCTACAGTGTGCTTTCCAGGAGCCAAATTTATAGTTTGCTTTACCAAGGGCTCTATGAAGTGGCGCTGAGAATTTCTAGCAAAGATAGCAGAGAGAACAGATTGAGCTTGGTATGTGTTTAATGAATCAGCTTATTTAAGATGTCTTCAGTGATGAGGTCCCACCCGTGTGTAGACACTTCTGTTTATTGAGTGATTGACAAATGTCCTTACTTTTTTAGTAGCTGATGGAAATTTAAAGGATATCAATTTTTGGACAGTATAGCTTCTAGAGAAGACATTTATGGTTCATTGTTGCATATAAACCTACCCAGACAACCAATACCTTACACCTAACATGGTTCACCATCAACTTTTTGAGGCACTTGTGTTTTGGACTAGTAAATTTGCCTGTCACTTGTTCAGGCACTAAAGTCACTTGACTATAATAAATGACAATAATTTACTTTTTTCATTTTGTTAAATGCAGAACTGAGACAAACCTTGTTTTTATCAAAGTACTCAAAGTACACATTTTTAATGACATACTATGGTATAGCTTTTCACATGACATTTTTATGGCATACTATACTATGGCCTTTTTTTTTTTATGACATACGATACTACCACTTTTTTATATGACATTTTTATGCCAAGCTGAGTGGCACCACGTTGGCACTGAGTTGGCAGTTGAGAGACATCTCCCACAACTCACTGTCAACTAGGAGAAAAGTTTGCATGGTTTGTTGTGACAACGGGTCAGCGGCCTTCAATCTGATTTAGGACAGTCAGTGAGCAACCACTTTCTACGTTTTAGTTTTCCATTCATTTTATATGCTAATTACTTGTGCCAAGGAGGTTATGATTTTGTTCATTCATCAGCTACAATAATAAAAACCAATCCTTTATAATATTATTCTTAAAATTTTATTAAAATTAAAATTTAATTTCTGAGTCAGTGGAGGTGAGTGTTTGAACTGCAAGTGGTTCCTACTCTGCAGAATACTTGGATCGACTACTGATTGGTCACTCAAGGCATGACTCAGAAGTCAGCGTATCCTAATACAATGGTTCATATGATATCTTATGAAAATGCACATATGGTGGTTTGTATGATATCTAATGACCTAGCGCCCAACAAATGGTGTTGTCATGTTATGTACTTGACGTGAAGTTATGGTTTAAGCAAATAAAGCTACAAAGGTTAGGTTTAGGAAAAGAAACATGGCGATGACGTACTTTAAAATAACTCAAATTTCACTTGGTTTCACACGATCCTGAACACCAGTCTATATACACAAACTACTGGCTAATGATTACGTGTGTTATAAGCGAATTGTGGTGCGGAAGACCGAAGATCAAGGACGCGGCGACGCGGCCCTGCCACGGCAGCCTCCCGTGGGCAAACAAATCAGTCTCCATCGTGTTTCTGTCCAGCAACCTCGAATCTGTAGGGGAGGGGGGCGGACACGACTCGCGGCAGTATTTTGAATTTGAGTGCAGTCACCGTTTTGGCCACATTCTTACATACAGCGCCTTTAATGAGGCAATTAAATTTCTCTTCCACTTGTCCCAGACAGGCAGACAAGCTGTAATGTTGAGCCCTGCCTTATCAGTGCTGCGCAGTTGCACTTACCCAATATAAACTAGTGGAAATGTGTTCTTGGATTGCTCCTCTTGGTTGGTGAGGTCATATTAAAAGAGATCCATGTTATAAAGTTCGTGTCACTAGATGTAATGGTGGAAGTATGATGACATTTAATCCCAGGATGAGGTAGACAGCCAACAGTGTTCACTTGTTTTTTATGTCTTCATAACCAAAACCAAACACATGGAATTAGAACTGACAGACCCATTTTGTTTTTTGGAGTTACTCTTACATTGATGATGCAGTGGGAAATTTTATTGATAGATTTATTTAAAAGTGCATATTGATGTGTGTTTGTATGTATGTTGAAATAGATTGGGGTTCTCATATATATTGCACCCATCAATCACATTTGGAAAGGAGCCCTTTTAAGCCTGGTAGGAGGTACTTTCAAAAGTAGCAGATGTAAGCCAGCCCAAAACAAAAGTTTAATATTGTAGTTTGTTAAAATTGGTGGTATGCAGACTTATTCATTGATGGTCTAGGTAATTGGGCTGTATGATTTCAGGAAAAAATGCACTATGTGATAGCATTTGTTAATATTGTGATGACGATATGACTCATGATAAATTAACAGATACTGAAGTTTTAATGTCTGTCTGCTTTAGATTTGTGCTGCTAACATATCAATCATGTCATCAATCAGTAGCACAGTCACAATGTAGCATTATCAAAAAATGTGCTGCGTCCCCTGGATCGCAAAGCTATCTAAGATAACAGGAATGTCTGTAGTAATATCCTATTTTTGTATTTTATGAACCTTAAAATACAAGATTATTGTCTACGAGTGGTCCACAGGAACTTCTGTGCCACCCCGCCACATTTACCGGGAAATAGCCAAGCCTCAGAAAGTCAGGGATGAGAGCAGATGGGTGGGTGGACTGGTGTCAGATCTATGTACAGCACCAGAAGTAAAACACCAACACATCATGGACAGTATGATAATAACATCCAAAACTCAAGTTTCATTCTCAGTGGTTTCTGTTACATGAGAAATACTATTTAAGTCATGCATTGTCACTGTTTCAACACAACATGCAGCGTGTGAATGCATGGAACATGTTAACGTACTACTTATCACAGTTCAAGCAGTGCTTCGAGATACCAACATTACGCATGTTGATGTCACGATGAAGGTAAATTGTGCAGCCCTACTAGGTAAGCGACATTAAAGTGGTATTCCTTAACACACCCATGAAAAAACAGGATAGGATTTTGCAGGAACAGTATCAACACGGAAACAGTGTCGACAGGGATATGGTGTCAACATAAAAAGACTGTACTGCCACAGAGATGGCGATAATGAGCTGTAAGGGGCAGGACAGCCAGTTATGACTTCACTCGCCTGGCTCTGGGATGGGAACAAATGGAGCCTCACTGGGTAATTAAGAGACACCCAGGCCTCACTAGGATATGCCAGGCAAATGGGAGAGAGGGAGCAGAAAGGGAAAGAGGGATTGAGAATGCAACCCTATTGTGTTTCATGAAGGGATTTGGACAGTGAGGCACTGGTCTTGCGGTCTGTCCTAAGGCCATGCTTTAGGCTCTGGTTACAACACCTGCCTCTAGCCACCCCCGTCCAGCCCTTCCCCCTGTAAAATGAGTTATCATATCAGACTTCTGCATTATGGAAATGTCCCTGTTCAAGGAAATGTGTGGGAAAGGACGATTTTAATAGCCCATGCTAATTGCAAGCAGTCTCAGTGATGTCATTACAGTGTTTATGTATGTAGCGATGGTGAGAAGCAGGTGACACTGGCAGGACAGGGCGGACTCTTGTTTCCGCTGATGTAATTGTGCCTGATTGAGCTGTTCTTTGGATCACAGTATTTGCAGTTAAGTCATTGCCTTTATGTGGTTGTAATGAACTGCAGTATTATGGCTAATGACTGTCTAGTTTTAGAGGTGATTTCACACGGATTACTCTACCCTGTATGTTTGTGGGTGCATTTGTGTAAGTGACAGTAAATTTAGCATGTTTGCATTGCAAAATGCAAGTGCATGCATGTATTTTTATGTTTTTATGGGACATACAGTATACATGCATGTACAAATGTATGTCTTGACGACGTGTGCAATTGTGTGAGCCACAGATATTTATACGTGCAGCAGAGATAGTATTTTTAGCAGGAAACATGGATGAATTCTTGGTCTACTTTCTCACCCTCCCGTGGTGCCTCCTCTGTCTCCCAATGGAGTTATGGCCTGTCTATCTATGTGCATACTCAGGACACTATACATATACTCACACATATTTGCCCAGCACAGTGTAGAATCATATGTCTGTCTCACAGGATAAAAGATGTTGTCTTATCTGATCCAAACTGAGATACCTCAACCTTTATCTGCACTTCCATTTCTTGTGATATGCTTTAGGTGTTACCACTGACTTGAAAATAAAAGAAAGATAACTGCTGATTAAAAGAATTTAAAACGTGTCCTTTTCTGACTTTTCTAGATGTGGATCTGTTGGTTTGCAAGCACCAGGGTCCATCCTGCTGCACCCGCAAGATGGAGGAGAGCTACCAGTTAGCCGTAAGAAGAGAAACCCTCCACAACATTCAGTCCTACAGCTACGAGCTTGAGCACCTCATCTCTGGACACTCAGATGCCTTCCAGGGTAAGTGCTGGGACAAATGGACCAAAGCTGGGTTAGATGGGATTGGCCTGAGGCTGTCATGATGAATGAGAAAGACATTTGATTGTGTGATTGGTGAATTGTCAAACAGCTATCTGGTACATACCGTACCCACCACCACATGGGACGTACACCCCAAAGTGCTCGCTTCTACAAAGTATTTAATTTAAAAACTTGACCCAGCTTCATGCTGACCTGACACTGAACTCATGCCCTTTTTTTCAATCCAAATTCAGCAATAAAAACAAAATAACTTTGTGTTTGTTTTCTTGCTTCCAAAGAATATTTATTTGTCCAGTTTTTGGTGGAAAAATTTTTTTACTCCATTCCCCAGGGTCACGGTAGCTGGCGTGCAGGCAAGTGTGCAACTTAGAACATGGGCATGGCTTCACCCCCCCCCCCCCCCCCCCCCCCCCTTCCCTTCTTCTGTGGGTTTGGCAGCAGCAGAACTGTAGAGAGGGATCGCTGAGGGTAAACGGGAAAAAGGGTATGAAGCCTTTTTCTCAGCATTTAGTGCTTTGTCATTATCTGATCCTGCTCTCAGGACAGCAAAACAATTACTGGAGCCCTCGCACAAATTACAGTAGTTTTGGAGAGTGAAGCAATCTGTGCACAATAATTATTTTTGTTTGTTTGTTTGGTATTTATTTTGCAGTGTATTTTTTTGGTTGCGATGCCTCTTTCGTAGCCCGGTCATTCAGAAGTCTGAGTTCCGGATAAACAAGGCCCTGCTGTAGATACAAAGCCTGTTTCAGCAAGGTCTTGCCTGCCAAAGGCTTTTGTACTACGCCCAACTGAATAAAGCAGTGCACTAGTTGCCCAAGCTTGTCCTTCCTCTTCCTCTAGTGATTGCAGTGTCATTTAAGTTTTAACATTTCCGAAATAGACCAAATTTTTCCTCCCCAAAACCTCCGAACACAATCCCACAGGGTTGGACACATGCTTTGGATGTTTTTAGTCTTACTGGAATTTCAGTACCATGCAATTAGTTTTTTAAGACAATGGACTGCTTAGACACCATGTTGGCCAAGTTCTGTTTTATAATGGATGTAAGACGACTGGTCCAAGTGTGCAACTCATATGTGATCAGATGCTGTAATAGAGAATGAAACTGGTTAGAGATAACTGTTACATTTAATTTGTGTCATCTTGGCAGGATATATATTACTGTCACAATGACCCCCCCTTAAAAGATATGAGATAAGGTATTTAAATATATGATTTAACCTGATCACATTTACACCTGGTATTAATGTGTGTCTTTTGTGTCCACATCGAGATCCAATTGAGATCCGATTGCTCTGTCCAACTCAAAACAACTTAACATCACTCTTGTCATACTCCTTCTTTTGCCAGTTTCATGTGTTTAATTTTTTGTCACCATTGCAGTCAGGACTGATTGTAGGCATTCTCCATCCTTTACATAACTATTGCTTTATAAATTATCTGGTTGCCAAGTTTTGCTTGTGTACTTTAATCGGCCTAGATTGAAAGCAGACACTTGGTCTCGTCTTGACTGCATATGATAATGGACGTACATGTAGCTACTGTGATGTCACCCATTGGTTTGTGAACTCCCAATTTGAAGCCTTGATTTCGGCATTTCAGCTGTCACCATCTTGGTTTTTGGAGCCAGATGTGACCATATTTGAACAAGAGGGTGGAGCTGGTGAGGAGCAAGAGGTGGATTTAGCATTGTCACATTAGAGCAAGAGGGTCCCTGGTTTGAACCCAGGGTGGGAATTTCGAACCCTGGGGTGGTAGAGCCCTTCTGTGCGGAGCTTGCATGTTCTCTCTGTGTCAGCGTGGGTTTTCTGCGGGTACTCGGGCTTCCTCCCACAGTCCAAAGACATACAGGTTAACTGGTGACCCTTAATTGCCTGTAGGTGTGAATGTGAGTGTGAATGGTTGTCTCTCTCTAGGTGTCAGCCCTGCAATAGTCTGGTGACCTGTCCAGGTTGTACCCTGCCTCTCGCCCAATGTCAGGCCCCCACAACCTCTCTCTCTTACCATGGCTGCAGTTTTTGGCACTTTGGCATTAGATTCATTATCAGCTTTAGAGGTTGCTGGTTGTTCTTAACTCCTACGACAAGTGTCTTGAATATCCATAAGCTTTCTTGCTGCTTTCTCGCAAGTAGCTTAGCTTGCCAACTGGCTAACCGCTGCTACCTTGCTGGGTTGAAATGCTCGCACGCAATAACGTATTTCCGTTCTATCTGATTTGAAAATGCAATTGCATTTACACCTCAGTGCGTTTTGGGTGTGTTCACACCTGTTCTTTCATGAGGTCAAGCACTATTGCACTTCAGTCACCCTGTAGGGGGTCATTGTGTTCAATGTAGTGAAACGCCACAAAGATGGAAATTCCAGCCTCTTCAAGCACATTACTATGTAGATGTTCACAGAGTGCTGGAGATAAGACCCTCTTACACTTGTTTTACAAGCAGATTATATGAAAAAAGAAGCCATGTTCGAATAGTGTTCCTGGTATTTGTCCTTTTCATCATCGTCATTAAGATCTTTCCCTTCTGACCTCATGTCTGAGCCTGTCTAGAGAATGAAGATCAGGTGTTTCACATCTCCAGAAAAGGCCAAGATGGAAAATAACAATGGAATAACAATAGAAACTGAAGTATGGTGGTGCCGAAAATGATGATGTCACTAGCCCTCAATTTACAAGGCCTTCTAAGGACAGTCTCTGTGCTGTCTGAGTGCCTCAAGTGGAATGTGAAGTAGCAAGTGGCTCATATACCGCATGAAGTAATGAGAATATGATTTTGGCTGATACCCTTGGTACTGTTATTCACACGCTGGATGGTGGAAAATTGTTTCTGGGTAGCTTTCTGCTCCGACCCCCTTTTTTTGTTTGTACTGTATCTATCCAATTGCACCACATGCAGCTTACCACCGAGCCACTTGTCTGCAGGCTAGAAACTCTGCTCTTCTGCTGTTAATCTGTTTATTTGATAATTCTTTCATGATGTGGCCACTAGTTTCTCTCTGCAACTTTTCAACTGTCTGTCATGCAAGTCATAATGTAAATCTTGTAACAGCAGGTCCTACGTGTGCGTGTTTTCTTTCTCCAGCTTTTATAGTTTCAACCCAGAATCACTCCTGCTGATTGCTAAAGTTTAGCCAAAAGGACAAGCCCATTAGAAAGGAGATGGTGTGTGTGTAAGGAGTGTGTCTGCGCGCGCGTGTGTGTGTGTGTGTCTGAGTGTTTTTGTTGGCCTGCCTTTGTTTTGACAGCCCTAAAGGCCCTACTGTGCTTTGTCATGTGTGGGAGTTGTCATGTCATGAGTATGACTCCATAAACACAGACCACATTTATAAATGCTGAAAGTTTTTTTTCTGCAAATGTTTCTGATACTCTTTAATATGAAGAAACAGGTTCAACTGTATGGTGCAATAACAAAACTTTATTGTGAAACAGAGCCAATAAGCTCTTGGGATTCTCCAGATATTGCCGTCCACTTTTATCCTGTGACTGCCACGCCCTAAATAATCAAGGCAGGGTACATCTTTTTACGTAACAACCTCCTTCCCCTGTTGTATATCCTCTTCTTCATCTTCCCCCCCCTAAACCTACGCCCCCCCTCAGGTCTCCTCTCACCCCCAACACACAAACAGGCAGCCTCTCCTAATCCATGCCATGGTTGATAGGTAATGAGTGTTAGGGCCTGATGGTGGGTAGGTGTCAGCCACAGAGCCCAGTCTAAGCTGGGCCAGCTTAGAGCTGCCATCAAGGGCTTTGGCCTGTCAGCCTGTTGTAGCCAATCAGATCTGGAGTAATCGTGCTGGTTGGGCACCTCTCTGAGGCCTCCTGATTGGCTGAGAGAAAGTTGAACAGATGGATTGGCCACTAGAATCTTTGTACTGGTTTGTCTGTTTGCCCACTACTTAATCAGTGGATCCATTCTCTACTTGCACAGTGTAGTGAGATGGAGTTCCGTTTACAAACTGTGTGTCTTTGTTCCTCCTTACAGCTCTACAGTAACCTTTGCTCTCAACATTAGTGATCACAGTGCTTTTGCATCCTTAAGTTAGCTGCTTTACTTTTCACAGGTAGCTTTGTACATTTTGTGAATAGTATTTACCATTTGTTTTTGTAGGTTGTTTTTTTTTCATCATTTTAAAGTCACCTCAGTGTCGTTAAATAGCGACATTAGCCAGTCAGGTAGCCTAGCCAGCTGCTAAAAATGAAAAAAAAAGCACTGTCATGTACTGCTCGCTTTTGTAAGATATTGTCTGTTACTTTATTTTTTGGCAGCTTCTCCAAGAACAGAGTGTAAAAAAGGACCATAGAGGCCTAACGTTAGCTCTGAAAATCAAGCTAACGTTGGTGCACTATAGCTAACATTACTAAGGCCTCATTTACACCGCAAGTGATGCGTTCGTGAAGCGGTCCACAAGCGTAGCGGCAGCACACGTGCATTCACACCAAAACCGAACAGACGCATCACGCAGCGGCCGCTGCTGTCCTGTCAAATACAAACCACACCTGAACACTTGGTGGCGGTAGTATACCGTGTTTGCAAATCTCCAATAAACCCCAAAGAAGTTAAAGTGAGTTTGGACCCTTTACTTCCTGAAAATAAAGGTCTTTCTTTTTCCATTAGATCGAGTGGTCGACAGGAGAAAAGCCATTGCAGCTTTTCTATTGTTGTTGCGCATGTTGTGACCTCTCTCGGCCACTGTAGATGATGATTTTTTTATTGAATACAGTGACCATTCGCTCGTGACTCGCACCAAAGATCGGTGTCTCTTCTATTTTCGAGCGTTTCCGAGCGCTAGGCTAACACATTGCTTGCTGTGTAAATGTGGCCTAATGCTTATCTAAGGCACTTAGGCGATTATCAAAATAATCAAAAACAAAAACAAACAGTAAATACTATTAACAATATATAAAACATAGGGCTGTCTAGCGATAAAAACATTAATCTAATTAATTACTTGCTTTAAGATTAATTAATCTAAATGAA